TACACACACACACAAGGAGGACAGACAACAAACATATGCCACACACTCCAAGTTTGGAGATTATTTTGAAAGTTTTCGTGATTTTTTATACTGCTGTTACACAGCACAAAGGAGATTTTTCTTTGCTTTTGTCATGTGTGTTGTTTCGTTCATTGTTTCTTTTGCCATTGTCAACACTCTTGTGTCTCGTGTTTTGTGTCTCGTTATTAACCTTCCTCCGCTCTCTAACCACCTACTGACTGCCTTGCTGCGGCTGTTCTGGGTGCAAATTGCACTTTTGTTGAAACAAATGGGAGAAACAATGCCAAGAGCAAAACATTTTTCCGTTTGGAATGCCAGCCGTTCCTTTGGCCGACTATAGGAATAAGGGATTTCGAATTTGTCTAACCTTCCTTTTCATTTTGCTTAACTTTTCAATTTCTCGACCCACCCAGGAAAACTTTTGTTGTCGTATTTTGTATTTTGCTGGCGTTGACAGGTTAACTTATATGACTTACGCTATCTTGAAATATCATCTGCGAGCTATCGCTTGTTCAATAAGACGACAGATCATGTGTAAACCTAAAGCAACAAGAATGTCATTAGGATCAGACTAGGTGATGGATAAGCGAAAAGACGAATACAGTTTAAATAGTTGTACCCTTTATATTTGTGAGGAAATCCGCTCAGATTACAATATTTAATCCTGGAAACCCATGTTCTAAAATGGGAATGACTGATTTATTTCTGCTTCGATCTGGAAAGGAGCTCTTCAATGGCATATTTGAGCAGATTATATATAACAATAATGTATTTATATATTGTGAATATTGATTAAACAATTCATCAATTCATCATATGCCAGAAATGGGGCACATAATTTGTCCGGCACACAGCGGGAAACAGGATGAGTTCAAAGCCCAACCAGGCCCAAGTCCAAAATTTGTTCGCGTTCGTGCCAGAAGGCGTCATTGGCGTCGGGAGAACTCATCAATTCGACGAAGACGGCGGCAGCCCCGCCAATAATCACATGTTGTAATTATGTATTATTTATTTTTATTTATTGTATATTACTCAGTGTGAGCTGTGGGCTTGCGGAATGGCCCAAACTTTTACTGATTTATCGTTGATAAATTTATGAAACTTTTATCTCGACCCTTTCGCAGCGCTCTTTCGGCCCGTCGTGGCCAGCCGGCGGTGAGCGGCCGGTGAGTGGCCGGTCAGTTGAAGATGGCCATTGGCCATTGGCGGCCAGTCCGGCCGAAGCCGAAGCCGAGAGCTGTGAGCCGTGAGCCGTAAGCAGCCTGTGGAAACTCATCAATATCATTAATCATAAATTAAGTATCATTTATATTAATTTATTATTGTGCGGCGCTCGGTGCAGCTCCTCTGATTTATCACATAATGTTCATTATCATGATGATGATGTTGTGCTCATTTCGTCAGTGCCGTCGCCAATCTTCCATCTCTTTTGCTCTCTCCGAAGCCTTGCCCATCATTAATCAGCTGCTGTTCCCAACACCGTTGGGGACGCAGTATGCGGTGGGGAAGGGGATTTCAAATTCGACTTCGACTTCCACTTGGACTTCGACTGTTCGCTTGTCATTAGCTGCCTCTGTTGTTGTTGCTGTTGTTGCCCTTCGTTCGTGCTGCTCGGGGCGCTGTAATTAATTATGCGCCTTTGTATTCTACCGACGATTTTCAGTGCTTTATGCTTATGAAAAAATTACATATAAATTGGAAACACTTAATCATTTCGATTTACATTTTAATTAAAATATTATACATCAAAACAAGCCTGCAATGGGGCAGCTCGCGCAACTGATGAGCCATGGCAATGCCGACAGAATTTTATCGATACTCGAAATTGTTCCAAATTCAAGCGTAGAGTGCGAACAGATGTAATTGGCTAGCCTATGTTAGATTTTGGGAACTGGCTAGTTATACTAACACAGCCATTAACAGAATAAGGTTCACTTTTCTAAGAATTTGTGGGCGTGTTATTTACAGCAATGGGTGTCAAAGTGCATGGCAATGAAAATAATAATGGAATCCTTTTGGTTTACAAATCAGGCCAAGAGCCTTGCCACTGTCAAGAGTCATTACATCCAACGAGCTGGGGCCAAAGACCAAAATACCAAGCAGCCAAAAAACAAAAATCCAAATCCAAAAGCAGCATTGCCCACACAATCGAGAGAGCGAGAGCGAGAGCGAAGCACGAAGAATGAACAACGTGCCGGCCAATTCACAATTTAACAAACTAATAAATATTTGTTGGCTTCCGGTGTGCTAAAAGGATATGCGAGCCAAGCGACTGCAGTCTAGGACGTCGCATTGAAAATAGAGCGATTCCCTTGGCGGAGCGAGCTGGCAAACAAACAGCAGAAGGAGCTGTAGAAATATAAATCAAAGGTTGTACTAAACTTTTGGCCTGCTCGATGTCGTTGCCAGAATAACAAGGCTCGCGGACAGACAGAGACCAGGAGATGAGGGACCTGAGAGCCTGCAGCCTGCAGCCTGCAGCCTGCAGTGGGTAGGCGACTTTTGCCAGCTTGATAACTTGATAGGTGCTGCATTCTTGTTGTTGTTGTTGTTGTTGTTGTTGTTCTTGTCGACGCTGTGTTGTGTTGGTTCCAACAAGGACACTTTGGTGTTGGTTTAAGGAGTAGGAGCTCTGATGTTGCCAGGGCTCGCACATGGCTTGCAACTGCCAGGCTGTCGGATATGCACTGACATAAATTGCTTCAGCTGACAACGGCAGAGGCAGCGCGACAGGGGTGCGGGGGAAGGAAGATACTGCAGCTCCCAGGAACCTTGCCCCATGATTACTGCTTGCTTGCTGGCTTGCCGCCTGCCTGCCTGCCAGGCAACCAGCCAGCCAGCCAGCCAGCCTGCCAAGGCAATAACTTTTCGCCTGGCCTTCACTTTCCTATCCTATTCTATTCTATCTGGTGCAGTTGGGTTGTTTGGATGTTTGGGTATTCGGGGGCACCGTTTGCGCTTTGGGGTAAAATTAATATTAAAATGGAAGCATCGGCTTCCATCGTCGGACGCATTGCAATGCAAGGACCCATAGATACACAGATGGAGGCAGGCGACGGGTATGGCTAACGCCAGTCAGTGCCAGGCCAAAGGACATTTCCAATTTATTTACGCTCAGAGGCACTTTGTCTGCCTTGCCAGTGCCATGGCTTCAACTCTCCTTCCTTAGCTTCTTCCTCTTCTTTTCATGCCGCTCTCTTTGCTGCTATGCTTTTTGCACTGCGTATGACAGTATTTGTGTAGTCTGTCAGCCAGAAAGAGTCCGAGATGGCGAACAGGGGAGCTCGGAGAGCACGGGGTCCGACTCTCTAGACTAGTTCCCTTCTGCTTTTTTTTTCGTACTTCAGAGAGCTTCGCTCACATTTTGACAGCAAAATGTTCCTTCTGGTTGTGTTAGTGTGAAAAGTGTTGAAAGGTGTGAAAATGAAAATTTACTACTTACCACTAAGATTTATATCCTCTATTCTTCTTCCCTCATTCCTGAACAGGGCAGAGTGCATGCAGAGTACAATGCAGCAAATGTGGAAAAGACAAGAACTCACAGCACCATGAAGATGTCCTCTGCTCTGGTCACTTTATTTGGACGCTGCAATTTAGGACTAACAGGACAGCAAAGCTATCGCTCATCCTTCTTATTACAGTCGTTTTTACATGTTTTACAAAATTGTTGAACACAATTATTAGTTTCAATTTATGAAATTGGCAATACAATTTTGTGTTCAATTAGAAGTATGTCTATTAATAAGAGAACAAACATGGTTGAAAAAGTTAACAATTATACAGCTTATAACTGGATTTGATATACCCGGATGTCCCGGATACCCTATTAAATATTTGTCCTATGAGTATATATGAGAAAAGTGAATATTTTGCAAAGCAACAACCAATGGTTCCTAAGTCAGCTATATGAAATAGTGGTTCGATCTTGTTAGGCTTATGCATATGAACATATAAAAGTTTTGCATACTTTTCGATCCATTGTTCCTATGACTGGTCCGATCCGGCCAGCTACGACATATACGCCTAAAGGACTCCATAACAAAGGCATTCACACTAGCTATCCATTCACATTAGCTAACTCTGTTGAAGTGTTGAAAAAACGAGAAAGAAGTGCTTTCTTCGGAACGTAAATGTCTATCTCAAGTCGCCTGTTGATACTGATTAAGAATCTATATACTTTGTGAGGTTAGAGATGTCTCCTTAAATGCGTTACACATTTCGACACAAAATTATAATACTCATAACGAGGGTATTTCATTTCATTTTCGATCCAAAGTTCCTGCAGAGTTAAGCATATGATAAAATAGACCGATGTTAGCAATTTACAAACATGTACGTTAGTAGAGAACATTTGACAGGTATGCCTATGCATTGCATCCATATGAAACACCTTAAGTGACCAATTAAATGTCCCCTCCGAGGATTTACAATATTTCACATTCCAATTCAACATTCAGGGTGTCCATATTGTAGTTTGTTACATCAAGCTGCAACGTACCATTTTTACAGATCATGCTCATAACGTCCTTCTGTCAACCTGCTGTCATCGATTGGCATCCACACTTAACACATCCTACAAGAGCGAGGATATCGAATCTTCCGTCAAGCTGCGCGATAAATTATTTTATCTAACATGACAAATAACAGTTTGCCTATGGAGAAAGCCAAGAACTGGGCCCAAGAGTTGGTGCAATCTGCACTTTGGCACAACTTCTATTCGGGTGGCAAAAAGGGCAAGAGGCAAGAGACCGCATTCTGGCTAGGCTGAGAAGAAAAGAGTCCGGAACTTTTCAAGTGCGACGCGTAAGTGCTGCGGTAAACAAGTCGTTGTCCAAAATCAAAAGCAGGAGCAGAGGAACCAGCGGCTTCTCCACTCGCCTCTAGTTGCTTGGCCACGCCCAGTTGGGCAACTGTTGGATGCAGCGACCGAGCTCAACGGGCGGCGCCATTTACCAAGTGTCAAAAGCAAAGCTAAAGCCATTGTCGACATGACTTTGGACTACAACAACAACAACAACAACAACAACAACAACAACAGCAACAGCAACAGCAGCAGAATGGAGAACCGTAAAATAAACAACAACAGCTGGCCAAAAGTGAAATGCTGCGTTGGCAATTGCTAAGGAGTTGCCAGAACTTTGGGTCTTGGCCCTTGTCTGTCGGCTGTAGAACAGCATGTGTCAGCTTTGGTGGCGATTTTCCTCTCTACCGACAAGCGGGGAGCGAGAGTGAATCGTTAGAAAAGTGGGTGACAAGTAACCGGAAAATGTATTTTATTGTTTGCATCCGGGCATTTCATTCTGTCGTACTCTCTGCCCCTGCACAACGCCACGACCCCACTGCCAAATCCAGCCACAGTCCTAGTACGTGGTACTAAATTGTTGAGTAATTGATAATATTGCACTTCTTTCGAATAGGATATTTTATGGATGGATAAAAGCATAAAGAAGTCCAGAGCACCAGAAAAAATGTACAGTGTTTTTCCCAATGCTCTGGTTCCTAATTCGGAAATGGAACCAAATGCAACTGCGAAAAAATACTTGACTTTTAAATTTATAAAATAAGCAAAAAAGCTGAAAATCTTATAATGAGAATCCAAAAATAAAATAAAATAAAACTTCATGAAGTTGGAGACGCTTCTTTAGCCTTTCGTATATATTCTCACAACTTTAAATACATACAGGAAATATATACAATGCTTTTCCCGAAGTCTCAATTAAACTTTCTTGGACATTGAGCCCAGCTATTTCGCTGGAAACGAATGACCTATATATATATGTCTAATTATTTTTTGCTCTAAAAGTTTTCTCTAGCTTATATTGAAATTGCAAATCCGCGAAATAGCTATAAATCATTCTCTAGTCGGGAAATTCCACCCGTATTTTTCTTTTCATACCATTCGATCGACTTCAAAATTGTTTTCATTTCTCTCCGTCGATCTTTATCGGTCTCTAATCCTTAAATCTGGATCGTGTCCTACGACTAATACACCCATAAACAAGTCTGGGATTTGAATAAGTATCCTCCTATATGACTTGGGAGAAATAAATCAGTTTAAGTGTGTATAGAAAAATTGTCATAATTGTAAAGATTCTTTGAATTTGTGCAAAGATGATTTCTTTGGTTGAAGTGCATTAATTATCGAGCATGGAGTCCATAAGTAAATGGTTTAATATCGATTTATGTAAGACAGTGCATTAAGTAAACCTTAAAATGCCACAATAATAATATGTAAGCGAGTTATTTTAGCTTGGTTTGACGGTATTTCATAGTCCTGTACTCCCCACTAAGGCTTACAGGCTTATGCTGCAATTGTGTATAAAGCGGAGTGTGAGGCAAAGCATAGTTGATTTGCACACTGAGCCCACAACACAGATTCTCGCACACCTCTTGAACTGAATGCCAGCCAAGTTGATAAATTGTCGAAATGTGTTGCGTATGAACGAAAGAATGAATGAAGGAACGAAAGAGCCACGGGATGTGCCAGCCGTTCGCTTGCTGATGCCTGCTCTGCGCTCCCGAGATTGATAGTCAAAATGGCTGTTGATACATCGTCAGAGAGAGAGAGAGAGAGAGTAAGAGAGTGAGAGGAAGTGGGATAGAGAGAATGAGAATGAGAGAGAAAGTGCCAGCAACAGCAGTGTCTGATGGCTGCCCAGCTTCGAGTTCAATGAAGAAAAATAATCACCAACATCATTTATTCTCCGTTTTGCCTGCCGCCGCTGTACAACACCCATCAATCTTTGTTGTTGGCAAAAGTGGGTAGCTACAGCAACAGCAACAACAGCAACAGCAAATACTGTAGAAGAGCAACAACTATCGACCCTGACCATGCCAAGCCGGCTGCTGCTGATGTACATATATATACTCGTATACTTTGAAACTTGACAGCTACTGACGGGCACGCCAAAGCTTTGGCCTGGCACAGCTGACAGACGACGACTTTTGACGTTTGCCTGCAATTAACGGATGTGCCCCACGTCACCCCTGGCCCACTCGCATTAGTGTTGAAAAATGGCTGCAGCTGCAGGTGAAAATGGGCACAGCGAGTGCTGGCTAATGTCTTGACAACTGTCGAGCTGGGTTGGCCATCTTCCATCTATTAGGCCATTTAAATCATTAATTCCGATGCCCACACACATATACTAAGAACATAGATTAGGTGAACCAAGATTCGGGCGCGGCGAGTCAAGACGGAATCTGTCTAAGTCCTTGTTAGCTAAGACTAATTTGTTGGCCGGGTCGTCGACTATTTTAAATGGCAGCAACTCTGCAGCCGATTTGATCCTTGCTGCGAAGTCTCGTTTTGCAGCAAGTCACTTGAAAGCTCGTTAATCATTTTAGCTATTTTCTTTTTTACGGCCCAGACAAGGAAAGACTCGCGAATGGCGAAGTCGATGCCGCTAGAATCCATCATACATGGCGAATGGCTCTTCCATCAGCGACTCACAGCAACAGCCGCATCAATGTCAACGTCAGACAAAACGTAAACGCGGACAGGCGGAAGGAAAGCCACCCATCTTGATTGAATGGAATGATAGTCGAGTGGTGTGGCAGAGGCTGTTGTAAATAGATGATAAGTGGACACCGAAGTGGGATACAGCTGATCAGTTATTAATTGCTAACATGAAAAACTGAAAGCTCCTAATAGAAAATCTAGTTTAAGATTATGTTCTTGATAAACATAGAGGGTTGCTTACAATTACCTACCTTTCGACCGATCGTTCCTATGGCAGCTATATGATATATTAGTATGGCCGGTCCGAAATGTGTACTAAGACGCGTTACACCCTCGAAAAGGGCAGAAAAAGTTCTTTAATTTGAAAGAAAATACATAGGGGATGTTACCCGGGTTTGCCAAGATCCGCGTCATGTTTTTTAGGTATTCAAATCGTCAGCATCACTTTACCTCTTAATTTAAACCCGTAAACAAATCTTCCACTAATATCCTTCCGGAAGAGTAAAAGATTGATGGAAAGGTTTTATGAGATTTTCTTATTAGGTTACTTCGTCGTAAAAATTCGATGTGAATAATCTGCATCCAATCAAATTTCACACCTTTTTTATCTGTATTTCAAGAACCATTTGATTTTTTATAAAATAAACGTTAGAGAAACAAAATAAACGTAATACTCAAAAAGCACTACGGTAAGCGATTCAAATATCTGTGCGCAGCCAACTTCAAGTGAGTCAAAAATGTCCGCGCCGGGAGTTCAATTATGCCCTTTCGTCTTAACGTATATAGCACATTTATTTGAATTTCCCTCACATGAAGTTGGCTGCGAAAGTGTTGTTGACAGCTATATCTTAGACAGAAACCAGAGAAACATTTTTAGCCCAGACACCCACCATCCCACCATTAATTGTTCATACCGTCAGAGAGATATGGTTAGAAATGTCTTAAACCTTCAATCTAGATAATAAAGTCAGTTTTCAATTTACTTTTATGATGATTTTAGTTTTAAAGTTAAAAAATCCCGATTAATTTTTTCATTAAAAAAAGTTTATTGTCCAATATATGCTGTTGAGCGAAATTGTGATGTTTTAAAAAGAAATTTTCACGTAGTTTTTCGCTGCATGGTTTATGTGCTTATAAATGGTGAGGAAGACTTAGATGAGTGACATAATTTAAGAATATTTATGATTGAAATGTTGTGTAAGGTCATCTAATCGTTTTCGTCCTCCTTCTCCTCGTTGGGTCTCTGCATATAATGCAGCAATTGGTCGGCCATGTGCCAATACCAGTGCAACTTGACGAGCTCCAGTCCTCCCTTGTCGGCTATCCAAATCTGTCCATTTT